TGTGACAATTGAAGAAGTTCAGAGCAATGGTATCATGAGATGGATCTGACACACTATTGCTGGCTGTGAGATATGAGGGTATACATGCAAAGGACCCAAGAGCATTGTCTAAGAGATCAAAGAGAACCCCAAGCTGACAGCCAGCAAGGAAACAGGAACCTCAGTCCTATAGACACACAAAACTAAGTTCTCTCAACACTGAATGACCATGAAGTGCATTTTCTCTGAGAATCTCCAGAAAGGAATGGAGCTTGCCAACACTTTAGCCTTGGGAGACCCCCATTGAACATCTGACATACAAAATGATTAAAAAATACATTTGTGTTGTTTAAGCAACAGGGTTTGTTTTGATTTGTTATAGCAGCAATAAAAACACTAATAAAATGGCAAGAGGTGGAATTTAGGAAAATGCCTTACTTCCTAACTCCTCTGATGGGGAGTTCTTCTGACAAAAATTCATACCTGGGATCTCTGTTTCTATGGCATTGATCACCTACCTCCAAACCCTGAGATTCATGAGCCACAGGTCTTATTTAACAATCTGTGTCTTAGGCCCAGAGAGCTGAGTAGCATTTTGCCAGGGTTACAATACACAGAGACATGGGGTAAGAGTTTTAGCATCATGTCTCAAAATACATTGAAGAATCTTGAGAACTCTGTGAATGAAGCTTATGCTTTGTGAATTTAAACTTGTAATGCAAATAATTTTGCTCCCTCATGTTCCCCTCTCTTTCCAGGGAAATTTTACTTAAAAAATAACTGCCAAATTTGTCACACTGACGTTATTTGATCTAAGTACCATACTACTAAGATGTGCTCCTCTAGAATATCAAGGTGGGGAAATGACCTGGCCCAAGGCCAGCCTATTTTGGTATCTGTGGTTGAGTTTCAGAGTACTGTCCAAATAAAGCAACATTAGTTGAGAGAAAGTGATATACAGGTGTGGCACTTTTCTGAGGATGAAAAACCTTTACATTTTATGTGTCACTTGGGGTAAGACAAGATACATTTATCAAAAATGGTTGAACCTAGGGGAGTAGAGCTCAAACAAGAGGTTTGTATGAAGTGGGTGAGCGAGCTTAGTCATGGGGTACTCCTGAATATGCTCTCCAGAATTGTAGGAGGTGTTAGGACCACAGTGAAAACACATGAAAGGAGAAAATTGAAGTCTGTCTGTTCAACACATTCCTTTAGTGGAGAGGGTGTTAAAGAACAGGTTTTAATAGTGTTGAAAATTCTTCATAATTATAACTTTATTCTCTCTGTGTTGGACTGTAATTTAAGTGACATGTAAACTGAGTTCCTCCTCATCAAGTGTCTACCCCAATCTGCTGTGTCATTGGGCACCACATTAGTTCTCATGAGTCTGAGCACTAACCATGTTTCCCGTGTTCAAACACTCTGTTGCTCCCACATGATGTTTAACTGAGCACAGACTTCACATTCAGGTTCAAAGCCCTCCACAATATGTCAATCTGTAACTCTCAATATATCTTCTACTAATTTCCCCACAGCCCTAAGATCCAGCCAAACCAAAACTAGAATCCCTCACTGTTCTCCAAACACACCCGCACATTTTTCTGCCTCTAAACCTTTACTTCAACTTCACTCAAAATTCCAACAATCTACCCTTTAGATTAAAAACCTCCCAAAACTTAAAGGTGTGTATGCTACCACATTCTCAAGAACTTTTAACTATAATACCACATTATTTAACTTCTGCTTAAAGGAACCTTCATAGAAATTTGTAGAAATTATTTTTCGCATTGCATTATATGTATCTGATAGTTCTCTTGACCTCTCTACTCAATAGAAAACTCTCCTCACATTTATACCCACTTCAACAACAGAGATATACAACACTTCACAAAGGTTTGCTAAATTGAATTTAGGTAGCTCTTCCCAGTTACTAAAACTAAAACACTTTAAAATAATATACATATATATATAACTCAAAAGAGTAATATATATTACATATAAATTCATTTTATATAATATATACTTATATAACTATATATACATGTATATCAAAAGTGACTAGAAAAGATTTTTAAGAAACTGATATTTTGTTTAAGTGAAATCATAGCTGTCCAGGTGGTTTCCAGGGATGCCTTGAAATGTTAACTGAAAGCATGTTTTTATGTAACCAAACATTTTATTACTCTTTAAGACATATCTCATTAGAACATAATACCCACAGGAACAATCATTGGGTCAGGCTTTATGCTATTGAAGTTTAAGGAAGATGCATGAGACATGAACAAGTGAACACTGGAAGAAATAGACCACTTTTGATCTTGTAAATGTAATCACTTTCAACTAGCTCAAACTAAAATAAGTATGTTTCTTGTGATTCACAGTATTAGAATTTCAGTGGACTAAACTTTAAAAGGATATAGTGTATCTAATATAGCTGCTCTGAGGCAGGACCAAATAGCTATCCTTGCTTGACCCTTTGAGCTTTATATCAACAGCAACAGGCCAGGACTACACTAAGAAAACTAAATTACTTTCACTGAATCAATTTCCCAACATATACAAAGCCAGACCATCTATCTATCATCTATCTACCTACCTATTTATGTGTCTATCATCTACTGTATCTGCCTATCTAATCTATCCATCTTTTTGTCCATCTATCTGTCCATACTATCTCACCTTTTATGCATTTCTGTAGTAATATTAATATATACTGAGCACTGATTTTGTGCAAAACACTCTTTTAAGTGTTTTACATATGGTAAACCTCAAAACAATTATTTGAATATTGTTATTATCCCATTTTACAGATGATGAAATTGAGTTTAAGTTACTGTATAAGTTCACACAGTTGATTTATATCCTGGAAATTTTTTTCCAGAGGCCAAAATGTTAACCAGTATATGATACACTACCTGAGAAGAATTTTGTTTATTCACAGAGGTTGGGGAGGTCTCTGAAAGCTACTCTATTTCTAGAAAATACCTAGAAATTATCTTGGAGATGAAGACCCAGGTGCCCATAAAAACACAAAAGACAACATGTTGAGTGTCTATATTACTAATAGAATATATTCTATATTTTTCCATTGTTAGGCAGTGCAAATATATTCCTAACAGTGGAATATATTCCAAACTATAATATTGGAACTACTTGTTGAAAATGAAATTGTGAAGCTAAATTTAAAGCACAAAGCAAGTGGGCAAGCTGGCAAGGCAGCATGATGGGCTGTGTGTAAGGATTTCCTCATTGTCCAGGCAAACACAGAACATAGGGCAAATATAGTCACAATATTTTCAGGGGCAGATTCTGCCCCAGGCCCTGTAGCACAGGCCATGAAGGGCATAAGTCACAGTGATGAGAATGGAAAATAAACACACTTATTTCATTCAGCTTTGAAATGAAGAGAAGCAGTTTGCCTTCTATAGGAACATACATACACACATGCAAACAAAACTTCGGGTGACTCAGTACAGCATTTTGTATCAGAGAGAAAGGAATGCAGTGACTAAGATGTTATGGGTGAAAACAAATCACTTTCCATGGGAGAAATAAAAAGAGCACTATCTACTGCAGCATTTCACCTGCATGATTTTAAAGAAAGGAACGAGAGAAGCTTCTTCAATAGGGGAGTTTTATCTGATGACTCCCATAACTAGTTTTACTGATTGAAGACTGCATCTTAATTCTTCTTTTCCAATGAAAGAATACAAAATGCCCTTTAAAATGTATTCAGAACTCATGATATTGAAGATGCTTTGACAAAGGCAATAAAATTCAGAGAAGCTAGGTAGAAGTTGAATTTGGAAAGAAATATTAAACAATACTTAGTTTTCATCCCAAAGGGCTGCCCTTAATTATACTGCAGCTTATGGGACTGATGAAGTTAAAATAACACAGTGGCATTCACTATTTTTAAAGGGTTGAGCTGCAGCCTTCACAGGATAAACAAACCACATAGAAGCACCTGTGCTCCTCTGAATTACTTATATGACTTTTTTCCACGGCCTAACAGTCTGCGTATTAAGTATTCCCTCTATGCTCTTTTAGGCCCAGGTGCCAAGAAAAAAACATTTTGTTATAAACTCATTCTTGATCTCTGCATGTTAGTGTTGGACTCTTCATTCTTAGCTACATTGTGGGTAAATAAGCCGTGTTTTTTTTTCCTACAAATATGCCAAACCCTGGCTGGAATGCACTGTGCTATCCTTTCACTAACAGAGTGCTTGTATCACTTACAATGACCTAATTGAGGTTCTTGGCCTTAAGTAAATGGATATTTAGGTGAAACTAGTAGAGATGGGGGGGTGTTCCCTTCGAAGAAATACCTTGACCCTATCCAAAATTAGTCCCAAATCACTCCTTAAAAATGTGCAAGGAAATGAATTTATTTTTGCTCCACCCTTACAAAATACCAAGCTTCACTGAAGCTAAAGATTTCAAGCTGCTAAAATAATGCAAAAGCCATTGCTTCTAAGTAAATATGGACCTACTTATTTTTTCTTGTCACAGTTCCTGATATGCACTTATATCTGTGAACTATACCCTAAATATAAGAAGACGAATAAGAGTTCAAAGACACACTGCTCTCTAGAATTTAGAAAAATATGTCCCTGTATTGCCTTAGTTAAAATAAAACATAGGCTTAGGTTCTGCAAATATTATGACCATTGTTAGTGGTTGGGGTAGAAGAATGCAACAAAATAACTCCTTTTGTGAGGAAGTGGAGAAGTTGAGTCTGTAATAAGAAACAAAAATACAAGCAAGTGAAATTTATAATTAAGTGATTAAGTTTGAACCCCAGGGTGGAGGAAAGTGTTATAATACAATTCCAGAATTGACTAGCAAAAGAATACCCTCACAGATGGCAATGACTTCTAACTTCCTTGATGGCCCAGTGAACAAAGGACTGTCCCTACCCTTCTCTCACTGGGGGAAATAGCGGGAACCCCAGAAGAAAGTGTTTCCCTGCTCCCTCTCGAGCTGTTGTGTCACGGAGAGGAGATAGCGTCCTTCCTTACCTGCACAGGTTCTCCCGTCGTAGGTCTCGCACACCCACTCGTGGCATTCACACAAGGGACCAAAGTACACTCCCGGCTCCTTCGCGTGACAGATGCAGACCCCACAGTTGCACCAGCCCCGGCCGTGGCACAGAGCAACCCCCGGGGGCTGCCCGGGAGCCCGGCACCGACGCTCCGACTCTGCCTGGGACAGCCTGCACGTGGCACCTGACCCGCTTCTGCATGGGGCGACAAACCATAGCAGGGCCACAGTCAAGCACAGACACCGCTCCTACTGCTCTGAGCCCACGTTTCCTCCCAGGTGGAAACATAGAATCCCTGAGTCCCCACCTTTCTCTGGGGACCAACATCCTTTTAGAGATGCTGTCTTAGCCCAGGCAAGCAGCACCACCCACTGGCTATCACCTGAGAAATGACCATGACCCAAAGTGTCTCAGCAATGACCTTCTCACCTAAAAATAAGACCATCTTCCATTTGGACAGAGGTAATCCAGCCCTGCCCTTGAAAGTTTGTCCTGAATCTTTTATGCACACTTAGATTGGGGACAAATTATTCCAAAGTATGACACTTTGCTGACTTTTCAGTCCTTTTTGAAAAGTCTCATTATTATCCGATGGCCAGGGGCAGTTATTTTATGAAAAAGAGGAGGTGAAATATAGAAACAGTTATATATGTTATGAAAACATAAAGCATAATGCTTTCTTAAGTTAAACAGTGCTTATAAACTGTACTTTAAAAGTTTAGCTTTGCAATGTGCCTCAAAGCCTCTTACAGAATGTAATACAAAATGTAAACAGACCCATAAAATAACTCAGCTTTATAGGCTCTGAAAATTTATAGATACTCATAGATAGAACTATGTTTAACTTATGGCAGAAATTCCTCCTGCCCCAACAGAGTAGTTCAGTTGGTTATAGCATTATGCCACTACACCTAGGTCATGGGTTCAATGACCTGTCATGGCATATACAAGCGTCAACCAATGAGTGCATGAATAAGTGAAACAACAAATTAATGTTTTTCTCCCTCTCTAATCAATAAATTTTAAAAATTAAAAAAAGAATTTTTTCTGATATTTTTTGGCATAGGAGGAAATTACTTATTTATTCAGTGATTTTATTTTTCTGGAGTACAAGAAAAAGGACAGAAGAGAAGCAACACACAGCATAGATATAAGGAAAGGAATAGAAACAAGTAGAAAACAGTTTATCCTGGGTCCAACTTCATTAACTGCTGTTGGCTTAGGGCAGCTGTCCTGCAAGCTTGAGCTCTGCCACACAAAGCAGGGCAGGTCGGTGTTAAAGAATAACAAACCAAATTTACCTCAGAGATGGCGAAAAGCTTTGAGGAACAGCTGACAGCCCCACGAAGAGGAGGGATGACGCCAGCAGCAAGAAGTTCCTGAAGCCTGTGGGATGCATGCTGAGCTCCGGGGCTGTGGAGGCCAGCAGAACTTCTGCAAGGTGGGGCTCACAGTGGGAGGCTGCAGGAGGGCGAGGTGCCACCAGCAGATGGCTGGGCAGACGGACCCACAGACACTCAGGCACTCAGGTCCGGGGCTCTACCCAGAGCTGCAAGTGCCTTGATGAGCTGCCTGGGAAGATTTGGGCAGCGGCACTGCTCTGGGCGGGGTGCTTGTGCCAAACCCCTCAAGTGGAGAGTCTAGGCAGGAAAGTAATTAGAAACAGTTGTGCAAGCAGATGGTTTATTTTGACATTTAAAAAGAAACGTCCTGTTCACAGGCCCCAGAAATATTTGACAGGAGAATATTTGGGCTGGCTGATATTGAAGGGACACATAAACCCCGAAATATGAGGGTAAGGAGGAGGCTAACAATGTCAGCATGTCAGCATGAACACTACGGAGAAAAGTAATCCATTGCATGCATTTTAAGAAGCACTATTTGGAGCATGAGTTGTGAGGGACAAACAAAATTGACAAACAAAACTTTTGTACTTTTTCCCTTTCTTTTAAATTATGATTTTTCATTTCTTAAGCCTTTAAAAAGTGTATCAAGATTCTAATTGTTTCAACCAGTTCATCACACCACATTTTTTCTTGACTTGGACAGTTCAAATTGTGGTTGTTTCAAATACATCACATTCTCCTCCATGAATCAAGTTCAAGGAAACAAAATAAAATATCTAATTACAATATCAGTTGCACTGAAAACTAATCAGTGTCATTTATTAAGAACCTACTATGTGTCAGTCAATATATTATATCTCTAATTGTCGAGATAACCCCACAATTAGCAAACATGGATGAGCAAACTCATTTAGCAAACATGGATTTAGTATCTATTAGGGACCAGGCTCTGTGCCAGGTAGAGAGGGCACAAAAGGGAACTAAGGAGACAGGATTCCTGCTCTTGGAATCCAGTGGGTTAGTAGACATTAATCGAAACAAAAGCACAAATATAAAAAAACAAAAGGTTGCAAATGCAATGAAAAATGAGTACAGTTACTTTCAGATTAGCTACAGGTGCCTGATCTAATCAATATGGTGGCATTTGAGCTGATGGATGAAGTATAAATAGAAGTATGTTGGGGATAAATAGGGAAAAGGTAGAAGAGAGTGGGGAACCATTCATATCCCCATTTTAAAGATCAAGAAACTGAGGGCAAAGAATGACTTATTGTTCAAAAGTAACTGACTTGCTCAAAATCACACAGGAAGTTAAAACAAGATTTCAGCTAAAATCTGTAGAAACCCCACACACTGTCTGCTACATTGCTGATCATTTGGGAAAACTGTTAGGAAGGGTTAAAGGAAAACATTTTCCCTTTGCTCTAAGAAAAGCATGTTAGATGCAGTGGTTCCTCATGAATAGAACCATCCATGCTGTGGTTCTATGATCTTAAAATCAGAAATAAGCTATACCAAGATGAGATTTCTCCCTGTCGTTATATCAACAGATATAAAAGATCACCTCCAACATTTGCCTGCTGGGTCCAGAAGGCAAATGAAAGTCCTCTGTCCAGAGCCCACCCCTTTCCTCTTGCTTCCTGAGTCTCCATTTGCACCAGAAGGGGCTCTGCCTGGGGCAAATCCCAGCCCATACAGTTAAGCTTCCTCCAAATGACTGGGCCTTTGTCAATACTCAGGCCCAGGCTGGATCTATCATTTGGTAGACAGATGGGGGAGAGGTGCATAGGGCAGAAAGGGGTCAGGGGAAGGAATCTTGGAGTGCTGGTTTAGACAGAGTTCATGGTAGGTTCCTTGGATTATATGAACCACTCATCTTGTGGGGAGAGAGTGTGACTGGAGAAAAAACAGAGGGAGTCACTAAACCTGTCATACTCAAAGTAGGATCTATAACCAGCATTAGCAGCAGGACCTGGAAACTTATTAGAAAAGCAAGTGCTCAGGTCCCAATCCTAGACTGAATCACAGGGTGCATTTTATCAATATCCTGAGAAACCTAGTTGTACATCATAAATGGAGAAGGCTTGCAAAGCCCAGGGCTGAGGGCTGAGGCTACCAGTGCCTGGATCTAAACGTGGTGCACTAACTCACAGTTCAAGTTCTGATATCATATTCGTTCCTACCCACATGTTCCTATCCTATGAGGATGTAGGAATAGGCTCTATTGCCAATGTCTAAAAACCTCGGTGACTCAGAGAATATGGGAATAGTAGAATGATAGCATCAATTCCAAAGGAAAGCCTCACTAAGAATTTGCATTGAAACCATTTTAATAAATGAGTCATGTATTACTTTTACATATTTTCTGAGGGGAAAAAGTATCATTGTAAAATTGGGACCCAATGTTTTGAATATTTCTTTCATAAATTAAAATAAGTTTTTAAACTTGTATTATTTTCATACAGTGTGGTGGGCAATGAAGAATATTATCATTAAGAGTGTGCCAGAGTGGCTCTGGCCAGATGGCTCAGTTGGTTGGTCTATGGGTGGGTTCCATACACCAAAAAGTTGCAGGTTTGATCCCTGACATGGGTGCATAGGGGAGGCAACTGATCAATGTTTCTCTCTCTTTCTAGCCCTTCCTCTTTCTCTAAAAATAAATAATCATATCCTTGGGTATATATTTTTAAAAAGCATATACTGCTGTAGCATAAAGATTGTATGTACTGGTGACTAAAAGCATTTAAATTTTCAGGTCATTATACTGCTGTGATTCAGAAATAATATTCTCAGTAAGTTGAAATAGTTTTATTTTGACTGGTGCTGTAGAATGTCTTGGATCCACAAAAGCTCTTTCAAAATAAAAGGACTAACTTAAAAATATCTCCTTTTAACCAAATTTTTATTTGTGTTTTAGTTTTTCTGCCAAAGGGAAATACCTACTCTCTCCCTTCTCTTAGTTTGCAGAAACTTCAAGAACACATATTCTAGTGAAAGCAGATATAGAACTTAATTGCTGAGTGGAAGACCCTGAGTTCCTCAGTGACCCTGAAGTTCCTGTGACAGCTCTGGAGAAAAGGCAGAGGGGTGTATGCACAGTGGAGGGGGCCTGGGAGGACCCCCCCCCCCCAACGTGTGAAACCAAACTCAAAGGAATTGAAAACACCTTAGTCCTTGAATGTAGTCCTTGACTCCTCAGGTCACAAAATCACAGAATCACAGGATTCAAGGTATTTTTTTAAGTTCATCTAATCCAGCCTGGCCGAGTAGAGCTCTGTTGGTTAGAGCATCGCCCTGATATGCTCAGGTTGCGGGTTTGATCCCTAGTCAGGCCACATACAAAGAATCAACCAATGAATGCATAAATAAGTGGAAAACCAAACTGATGTTTCTCTCTCTCTCTAAAAAATATGTAAAATAAAATAAAAGGACATCTAATCCAAAACTAAATTTGTTGACAATATACAATGCAACTGCCAAATGATTAGGTAGACTCATCAACAAAACAAATATTAAGAAGAACACAATTCTTTCTAAGAGTATCTCTGACGTTTTCATACCTTCGTTTCAGATCTGCTTCATAGCTTCAATGAAAATACTTTGAACTATAATATATGTCTACCTCAGTTGCATTATACTCCCCAAGTAATTCCACGCTTCACAAGATAAACATTCTCATTTCTATCACTTCTTCCTTCTGTATAACAACTTCAAGTGTTCAACTCTTTATCTAGCTCTCATTTCCTGAAGGTTTTTGTTTGCTATGGATGCTTCTGTAAAGAATAACATGTGCAACTAAAACCATAAATTAGAAGGCATCTAATGTGTGTGGAATTGTTTTTTTGTAAACTCCTTTACATGGAGGGCAAGAAGAGTCCAAAGAAAGAGTTAAGCCACTCTGGATGTGTAGGCAGAATATTTAATAAGAGGATTTGTTAGGAACTGTCCTGCCTGGTTTCAGAAGCTGTAACCCCCCATAGCTAAGGCTGTGTAAAAAGACCTTGGGACCGTAAGCCACTAAGGAGACAAAGCTTATCTATCTCCCTGGCAGGGGCACTGCCTCTGCCCCTTTTTATTCACCCTGCTTGGCCCCCAGCAGATGTCTGGTTAGCCAATGACCAGTAAGATTCCTCAAAGGAGGGATGACCTAAGACAGGCACGGTCATGATGCAGCCCTCAGGGAAGGACTCATTGAGCTATAGACAAAGGGGGTGATGGACCCTCGCCCCTCAGCTTTGACATTGCCTGAGTCCTCATTCTGTCTGTAAGAAGTCTCCTAATTTCTTGGCTACCTTATTTCCCCTACCTGACTGAAGCCTGAAACAATGATGGAAGTGAGTATGGATCTGTGCTGGAAAGGGCGGGTTCTCCAGGGGCAATCAGGCCTAAGAAAGAATCCATAAAATCTTGTAAAATCTGCTTTGCTAAGAATGCCCTCAATTTTCTGATAAGAGTCAAAGCATGAAATGAGTTTGTTTCCCCAAAGTTTTATGGCCCCTTAGCTCTCTGACCCTGACTCAGAATAAGCCCTCATAGTTCTTTGAATATTATCTATTGTTTGATCATTACTACCTGACGATGATTGATGAGCTTTACTTGTATTCCTGTGCAAACTGAACTCAATAAAACCCCATTGAAGAACAGGCTTCTGGCACCTTCCACTTTGAAAGATCAGCCACCTTTCCTCCCCAAGCAGATCATGTCTTGGTAGACTTATTCTCATCTGCGACATGTGGGGTTCGGGGGAATCTGCAGGTGGAGCCCCTCCACAAAAATTGAGGTTTGTCTTTGGTAATCACCACAAGATGAGATCTCCACACCCGCCCACCAGAACCTTAAAAGTTTTTACAGAGGCCTTAACTAGGTTCAGTCACATACACCATCAAGATGGTCTCAATAACATATTTTTTCTCTCAAAGTTGTGTTCTTAAAAACTGTTCCTGCTTTTGTACATTGTGGGCAGAACATATATGGTAAAGAGAAGGGAAGGAGGTGCTTTCTGTTGCCTGGGTCTAACTCACAGGTTGGTACTTTCAACACTCAATACATATACTATATTTCTGCTAATAGACTAATGATCAAATTTAACTTTTTGACTGCTTCATTACTCCAATAGTGGGCTTTCACAAGTGTGTTTTTCACCAAATACAAGTTGTTGTTTATCTTTGTTCAATTTGATCTAGATTTAGATCTTTTATCAGGTCAAAATTATTACACATGCTGTTTCTACATTTCTCTCACCCTTCAAAGAGTAATTATGATAA